TATATACCACCATATTTCGTACAGAGGAGGGAGAGGAATAATATCCAACATATCTTCATCACTTTGGCACTCAAATTAAAGATAGCAATCCATATACTCACTAGTTTGGCTCTGGTTCTTGTGCCTAAGTTCTAGAGTGTCCTTAAGGATTATCCTAGATTGAATTTCTTGTAACCCAGGCATAGGGGAGAAATATCAATTCGGAAAGTGAACTTACACGATCCTTAAGATATCCAAGTACTCGAATTATCACCCCCTACGTGATATACCCCATCTCAGCACCGCGAGAAAAATAGAGAGTTTCGTTGGGAATCCAATTTTTACCCTAATGTCTATTTTTAATTACGTGGCAATGCATCTTCAATGCAATGCTTTGTAGTCTAATTTTTTTTTGCCAAATATCAAATAAATCAATGGTTTTCTAATACACATCATACAAAGTGGAGTGATTAAATATTGAACTATAAAACAAGCCTCCAATCTACAAAGTCTTACTATCCAAGTTGTAGTACATTACGGAGTAATAATGTAATATACATTAAAATCAGAGAATAATACGGAGCATTACTTTTGGATAACCGCCATAATCGGTGCTTTGAGACTACTTGCAGTGCATTTTTTTTTGTTCCAACGCAAATTTTTAGCAGGCTTCGTCTAATCATCAAGTCTACAACGGTGTCTACACTTGAAAAGTCATCTCGACGGTGTGTAGCAGTTTTTAATTTATGCCAAGTCAGCCAAACAAAATTGAAGACTACGTCCATTGAAGACATCCGAGCATTGTGGATGCTCTAAAGATGCTCTTAATGGACATTTCCACACCATTGTAGAAGCATTGTTATCGGAAAAAAAAAATCCTCCATCATTCAGAGTTGGAGTTTATAGTTACTACCTCCACCCCTAACATTGAGACATGAGGAAGTAGTATGATTATTAAGAAAAGTGAGTTTACGTGGTTGATATTGAATTGATAAAGTAAGAATAAAGTAAGAATTATTTAAAATCGAGAAAAGGATCAAATAAACTCATCTACTAATGTCAAACCATCAACTAGGCCCTCATACTTAATAAAACATCACTTAGACACTCTTAATTGAAAAACAATCCATCAACCCAACTGTCTTGGAAGCAACCGGTAATTGTAGGTATAGTAACTGTTTCATTATCATTTTTCTTTTTCTTATTTAGTCTATAGTTTTTTGCTTTCGCTTTGTTCTTTTCTTCATTCTTTCTTTCATTAGTGCTTGCTTTTCTAGGTCAATTACTTATTTTTTTATTTCGTTCAATGTCTATTTTTTTATCATTTTTTATTATTATTCTTCTTCCTTCACAATAATAAATGTTTAGGAGACACAAAAATATTTCAGACAAGGCCAAAAACTAGTTTAAAGATCTTTGGAATCGAATTGTTTCTCTATAAAGTTAGGATATTTTTACTTGGACTGTAATTTGTTGTCTAGTCTGATCTGGTCTGGTCTGAACTGGTCTGGTCTGGCAATGTCTGGTCTGTTTGTATTTTTAAAACTATTCAAGTCTGGTCTGGTCTGATCTGGTATGTTCTGATCTAGTCTGGTCTGATCTGACACAGATTACAGTCCAAGTAAAAAAATTCTTTCGCTACATACAAAAAAAAGTTGATCAGAAAAGTTCATTTACTAATAATAAATGTATAGCACATACATAATATGTTTTCAGACATGTACAAAAATTGTATTTTTTATACAATTTTTTTCGACAGACAATTTTTGTGTGTGACTTAATTTTAAAGACATAATTATGACTTATGAGTACAAAAGATATTGAAAATGTGTATAAAAATTATACAATTTGTTGGCTTTGTTCGAAACTTTTTGTCTGTGTCACACATTTATTGTCTGTAGAATTAGTTTTTTTTTTCATGATATCTTTTGACAAAAAAACTGAGTGCGAATAATTATGAAAATTGTACAAACCTTATACCTCATGTACGAAAGATAAGGTCAATTGACTTCTCTTGATCAATAGCATAGTTCTAAAAACAATCGTTCTAAAAACCATATCTTTTGTACTCACAATTATGTCTTTAAAATTAAGTCACAAACAAAAATTGTCTGTCGAAAAAATGTGTATAAAAAATACAATTTTCATCCATGTCTGAAAGCATATTATGTATGTGCTATACATTTATTATTAGTAAATGAATTTTTTCTAATCATTTTTTTATGTAGCGCAAGGATTTTTTACTTGGACTGTAGTCTGTCTCAGATCAGACCAGACTAGACTTGGATAGTTATAAAAATAAAAAGAAACCAGATATTATTAGACCAGACCAGTTCAGACCAAACCAGACCAAACCAGCAAATTACAATCCAAGTAAAAATATCTTAACTTTACATAGAAACAATTTGAGTCCAAAGATTTTTAAAAAAGTTTTTGACCTTGTCTCAAACATTTTTATGTCTCCTATATATTTTTCATTTTTTATTATTATTCTTCTTCCTTCACAATAATAAATGTTTAGGAGAAAAAATAAACATTGAACGAAATAGAAAAAAAAAGCAATTGACCTAAGAAAACGCAAGCACTAATGAAAGAAAGAATGAAGAAAAGAAAAAAACAAAAGCAAAAAACTATAGACTAATCACGTTAGTACCAGGGCCAAAAAACTATAGACTAATCACGTTAGTACCAGGGCCGGGCCGGACATATATAAGACCCTAAAGTATAAACCATTATATTAATACTTTCACCGTTTTAAAATAATACTCCTTCTGTCTCAGAAAATTATTCTCACTTTGACTTGGCACGGAGATTAAGAAAGTGGAATAAAGTGAAAATGTATGGTTGTGGTTGTGTAAGAAAAGGGTGAAATGAATATGAATCACACAAATTGTCCAAAAATGGTAAGTGAGAAGAATTATTTGGGACGGCCCAAAAAGGAAAGTGTGAAGAATTTTATGGGACCGAGGAAGTAGTGTCTTTAGGTTTTTTGTGGGTTTTAAGAAGAAAATAGTATGTGTAGTATAGAAGTGTAAGGTAAATGAAAAAGTAGAAAAGAAAATAAATTAAGAAAAGTAAAGTAATGACAAAGTATGAAAAAGAAAGTAGTTACAAGCTCGTTCCAAACTGTATGAGGATTTTGTGCTAATTACTGTAACTAGGCCTTGTGAAATAAAGAAATACACAATTGTAATTAACAATTGCATTTTAATTACATATAAATATTACTCCGTACTATTTAATGTTTGTATTTAAAAAAGTACTAAGATAGGAATTTTTAATCAAATAAATAAAGATTTATTATATTATATAAACTATATTTAAATTTTTGGGCCTTCTGGAATTGAGAGGCCTTGTGCGGTTGCACTTCTTGCACGCCCTCATCTACGGCCCTGGTTAGTACGTTACCTTGCAACGGGGTGGGGCAAGTGAGCAACGGACAAATAAAGAAAAAGAAAAATGATAATGAAACAGTTACCTACAATTACCGGTTGCTTCCAAGTCACATGGGTTGATTGGTTGTTTTTCAATAGTAAGAGTGTCTAAGTGATTTTTATTAAGTATAAGGGTTTAGGTGATGGTTTGACATTAGTAGATGGACTTATTACCCTTTTCTCTTTAAAATCACACAAACTTTACCAAATCTGGTTTGTGATAATCTTAGTGGAACGGACCGAAAATGGAGGATATCTCAATCTTAGTGGGACAGAAAGAGTATCCCATAACTAGTATTTGTAACTCCAATTCGGATTTAAGGCTAGACAGAGAACAATAAGTCTTGGATGAAGAACACCTTATCAAGTTATTGCGAAGGAAGGTTCGTAGAGTATTACGATTATATTATTACTATTATTATTACCTTGCTCATATTTAATGTAATATTTACCTTTTATAATTCCTTCCTTTACGAAGGATACTCTTTCCTTCTTAGATAGCAGCTTTGATGTAATTATACGAGCATCTGTATCATTGAGTGGGAGAGATTTGAATAAAAATACTTCTTCTCCTTTATTACGTAAAACACTAACATGGTATCAGAGCCAAATCGATCAATAGTGTGGGGCCCCTTATGAATCGTGATGACTGATGACACGATTATAAAAATGGCCGGATGGAAAAAAAAACGGACCGATGAAAAAAAATGAATGATTGCACGATCCAGACGAAGTGTCTGGTCGTGAGGAGGGGTGTTAAATGTCCCACACCGGAAACGTTTGGATGAACAAAGTGCTATATTAACACATGGGCTACTCCTCCTATCAGGTTGACCTTTTAGGATGGAACCTCGTGTCTTAACATAGAGGATAGACAAGTCCCCGGTTTAGTTTGATAGATATTTGTTACGTAATATATTATAATTAATTAAAATATATTATGTTTGGTTTTCACAATGTGTATCTGTTGGCAACATCTCATGCTAGGCAGGAGCGGAGCCAGAGCATTGGATCGGACTAGGTCGGTATAAAAAATATTTTTCGATAATATTTTAACACAAAAAGTTTTACACTAAAAATACATACATTTTTAAAATTTTGGCTGGGCCGGGACCAGGGTTGGCCACCCCCTAGCTACGCCCTTGATGCTAGGCCCGTACGTTTGGTTTTTTATTATTTATTTATAATTTTTATTTATGTATGCATATACGAAGTATATGTATATATTTTTTAGAACTAGATTAGCTAGAATATTGAGGATGTTGCATTTTCCCTACCGTCAATGTTAACAGCAACAATTAGCGGAAGGACTCGAATAATATAGATTAAATAGAATAAAGATTAAAATAATAGATTTAATTGTTTAAAGACGATTTCAAAAAAAAAGTTTAAAGACCAAAACGATATGGTGATGATATTTTAAGAACCATTTATGCATTTTATTCTATCTTAAATATCATATTTCTGTAACTTGGTAGATTCAATCGTTTCAGCCAAATGTTTATTGATTTTTACGAATTCAGCCGAGAAATAATTTGGGAAACAATGAGTTATCTATTATCTAAGCATAAAAGACAGAGACCTAACCTCAGCAACACTCTTGTCGGAAGTCAGAAATGTGGATCTCCACCCTTGACCAATTGCGGATAGAGGATTATCTTCTTCTCCCAACACTCGGGTGTAGATTAAGCCATCCTCCTCTAATCTCTCCACAAACTCTGGATATTTGTTCTTCATCTTCTCATACACAACATGACTAAGAACTATTGGGGTTTCCCCTCCACTTCTAGGCTCTACTTCACAGTAAAAGAAAAGCTTTGATGGATGCTTTAGAACCTACATCATCCAATCACATTTTTCAACATATCTTTAGTACATTTTATATTTAAAAATCTAGCAAAAATTGGGGCTAAAGCATTTAGAATTGAATCATTTATTTATTTAGCAAAGTGAAAATGTTTCGTCCCTATTTAGTGTACCACCTATTATTCAATTAATTATTTGCTTATTTGGTCGCTTATTAGTTACCAGAATGGTCTTGAAAGTTTATAAACATTCTTCTTGAACAAAATTTCTCATAAAATTAAGGTTACTCATTTTAATTTCTAATAATGCCATACTCTCTTATCACAAAATTAAAGCGTCTAGTTAAGTTAAATAAAAAAAATACAGTAAAGCTAATTATAGAGAATGTAATTTATTGGGCTATAACGGCCTCGGTAGTTATCAAAGTAGTCTACAGTCTACTCATGTGATATGTCAAAAAACTAATTTTTAATGACCTGTTTATGTCATGTCATGTCATGTCGATCATGTCATGTTATGTTATACCAAGTATTATCTGATGTTATGTTATGTTGTGTTGTGATGTGTTGTTTATAAAATCTTTAGAAAAAGCTCGGCCCGAACCTATTTTTTGCAAGTCTAAAGTGATATCTTCTCGTGGTTGACTATAAATAGAATTGAATACGGAAGAATTGGGTAAGAAGATGAGTCTACAGTATGGTATCCTAACGGTTCATACCTCACCAATAAATGAGGGTACCGCACCTATAATACATGTGACAAGTTCGAGTCAATAATCATTATCGAATAATTTATTAATATTTCAATCACTCAATTGCAATATTCTAATTGGTCTGCATTGGCAAGGTATAGTACCTTAGATTCATCATTTTTGACATTTTGCCTTGCTTTATTTTATGATGTAGAGTTCTAAGAGAAACTTCAACCAGACTTCCTTTGATCCCAAAGAAAAATAAAATAAAAACCTGAGCCATTTCATGGTGAAAAAGGATGTTCTGGTCAGGCGGGGCTTCATTTGCGGTGTAGACACGACCAACAACATTAGTCCGAGGGGCTGCGCCGCCGATGTACGGCAGCTCCTCGTAACCGAAGGCTTCAACGACGTCGTTGAAACCCGACGCCGAGCTAACCGGAAATCCTGTGAAGAGAATAGCCCCAGATTGATGGAGAAGAGCTTCAAGCCACTGCTTCTGCAGCTTAACAGCAAGGGGTAAGCTATGATGTAGTGATGCGTTTGGGTGAGGAGATAGGACGGCAGGAAAGAGTCTGCCGTCGTATAGCTTCTGTTGTGGGGTGACAACTTCTGAGAAGAAGAAACTCTGCCGCATATCCGTACCCATAGATCGATTTTCTCAGCTCCTCCAATTCCTTCTCAAGTTTTGTTGAATTCCCAAGTATCCGGTGTGGGAATTCAACAAGTTTCAGTCACGGACCTTATATAGAGGGGCAATTGTGCGTACTAATTGAGGGTACGCGATTATTGCCATCACAAATCATTAAGGACATGTTTACTTCACGGGTTACTAAACGGTGCTTACTAAGACCCGCGTTAATAAGCGGCGGATAAAATAAGCAACATTGTAATATCGTGTTTACTTCAAAAGGTTTAAAACATCGTTTAGCATTAAAATGTCCAAAATAACCCTATACATATATAAACACACAAACATTCATGAACACAAGTATTATGTGTACCCACACCCCCAACCCCTTACCCCCACCCCTAAACCCCATACCACCCTACCTACTCCCTACCACATCAGCCCGACCCCACCCTAACTCCTACCCTACCTTACCTTGACCCCACCATTATCCTGTCCTCGACCCCACCCCTACCCTTAGGCCCTTACCACAACCCCCTACCATACACCCTATCCTACCCTACTCCTACCCATACCCTACCTTACCTTGACCCCAGGCCCCTACCCTACCATACCTGGTAGGGGTTGGGGGTGGGCCCGCTGGGGTAGGGTGGTAAGGGCCTAGGGTGGGTTCAGGGTTAGGGCCAATGTGGTAGGGGTGGTAAGGGGGCCTAGGGGAGGGGGGTCGGGTAGGTAGGGGTAGGGTTGGGTCGGGTAAGTGTAAGGTGGTGCATGGGTTAGGGTAGGTTGGGGTGGGGCCGATGTGGTAAGGGGTTGGGGTAGGAGGGGGCCCTAGGGGGTAGGGTGGGGTCGATGTGGTAGGGTTGGGGTAGGTGGTAAGGGCCTAGGCTTTGGGGTGGGGGTGGGCAGGGGTGGGTAAGGGGTCAGGTGGGGTGGGGTAGGGTAGGGGTGGGTAAGGGGTCAGGATAAGGTAGGGTAGGAGTAGGGTAAGATAGGATATGGTGGGGTCTGGTAGGGCCGATGTGGTGGGGGTTAGGGGGTTAGGGTAAGGTGGTAAGGGCCTAGGTGTGGGGTGGGGTGGGTGGGGTCGGGGTAAGGTAGGGTAGGTGGGGTAATGGTCGAGTAGGGGTAAGGTACGAGTATGGATGGAGGTAGTGGGTAGGTGGGATCGGGGTAGCGGGTAGGGGTAACAATAAGGGTAACAGCAAGGGCAAGGGCAATGGGTAAATTCGGAAACTGAAAAAGCTTAAAGTGCCGCTTAATTAATACATGGGGGTGGTAGGCTTAGTAAGCGGCACTTTAAGCACCTGTTTCGGTTAGTAAGCGGCTTTTTAAGCAGCATGCGTGTTTACTTCACATGTCTTACTAACCTAACTGTGACTTTAGTAGCGAAGTAAACGCCTCCTAAGTACAGCCATTCTATATATATGTTGAATGGCGGGAGTACTCAGTACAGCTCAAAAATAACCCCATTCAAACAAAAACAATTCTCTATTCGTCCCTAAATAATTTTGAAAGTACATTTGGTACAGGGATTAAGATAGTGAGTATTATGTAATGAAGAGTTGTGTACGGCAGCAAAAAAATATGTGTAAGAAATCATATGAACCACGATTTTTTTTACCAAAAAATGATACAAGATACTCTGTATTATTTTGAAACGGACAAAAAAGAAATTGAAAGATAATTCAGGAAGAGAGTATAAAATAGTAGCTATCAAATAGTAATAATATGCAATAATTATTGTGACGGGTTATGAGAGAAGACCCTATGCTCTGTTTGGATAAAGTGAAATTAAGTAAACCCAGTGCAATAAAGTAAACCTACGTTTTAATAAAAACTAGGTTAACCTAAGTGAACCTAGGTCCATACGTAAAATAGTGTGGAAATATAGAAGGTGAACCTAGGTTAATGTAATAAATGTTGTTTGGATAAAGGTACTCTAGCTCATTTTATGTTAAACGAGAACTTAACCTCCAAAACCCCCCGATTCGAAGGTTCTTCAATTTAAGGTTCTTCCATGTTCTCGGAGTTAAGTGATCGAGTTCAACACATAACCTAGGTTCTTGTTGCAAAAATACAAACAACTCGGGTTAACTAGAAATTGAACCTTCAATAACCTAGGTTAACCCCCAAACAAACAGACCATAGGTGGCTTGCGGCCTGCCCTCTCTTCTTCAATCTCTTCCTTTCTTGTTTTTTTGGCAAATCTCTTCCTTTCTTCTAAATATGAAAAGAAAATTTGGTACGTGTTTCAAACTTTCAGTTCACTGCATGTGTTTTTTCATGTTGATGCCTAAAATTTGTGTATTTTCTGTCCTTGTAACTGATGAATGATGAAATTTTGTTCTCAAAGTTCCAGAAATATAAATAAACACGTTTTCAATTCAAAAATATGATTGTTATGTTTTTTTTATTCTGAAATAAGAGTAACATGATAGTATTTATTGTCGTCTAAGTTTTTATTACCTAAGTAATTGCACTAATATGCATTAACATGATGGTATTTAATGTCATTAATGCAGTTTCAATCATAGCAGTAACGACTAACTACTCATATTTAAGGAAGATAAATCTAGCACTCCTATTTTGAAATTTTCAAAACCTATTTACTTCTATTAATGACAATTTCTCAATTTTGTTTCTATTGGTGGAAAAACTGTCAAACAGGTCCTCCTACTATATCAAAAAAGTCAATTAATTAAGTTTTTGCACATTAAATTCACCCAATTGAGTCTCGAACTCATGAAAACAGTCAATTGAGCCATTCAGCCTATAAAGACCAGATCTTCCGGTTAATCGCTCACGTTGAGTAGTGGTGGACCCGGTTCGGGCCGCCCGGCCCGGCCCGTCACTGTACGGGCCCGGAACCGGCCCGGTTCTCGGGTCCGGGTCCGGTTCGGGCACCGAACCGGTGGGAGAAGCGGGTCCGGGCTCGGGTTCTGTTTTTGGTGGCCCGGCCCGGCCGGGTCGGGCCCGGGCCTAACGGTCATTTTAAAAAAAAAAATCTTTTAATTTTAAAAAACACATTTTGGCTCAACAGCCACTTCCCAAACGGCTATATAGCCGTTGGGGGGTACCAGGGGGGGTCCGGGGCGTTTGGGGGGGTGGGGGGGTGGGGGGTGGGGGTTAAAAAAAAACTATAAATACTCCTAATTTTAAACATTTTTTCACACCTCTTCTCCAACTCTCCCTAAATCCTACTCTCTACTCATCTCCAATTCTCCATATTCATCTTCTCAAATTCTCTTATTCTCCTTTATATTTTATTTTACTATTTAATACTTATACAATTATTATATATTAATTATCTACTTATAAATACATATACTATATTACTTATATTTCTTATCTACTTAATCTCTACTTATATTTCTTAATACATACATACATACTACATCTACTTAATATATACTTTATATAATAAAGTATTAAATATACTTTATAAACTATTACTATATACTTAACACATAATAATATCTACTTCTCTACTTAATAATATCTATTTTATATATACTTATTTTATAATATCTACTTTTATATATACTTTATAATATCTATTTTATATATACATATTTTCTTATTTTCCAATCTCCAATTCTCCATTATACTCTAATATTTAATTCTTATACAATTATTATATCCACTTAATACATACATTCTACATCTACTTAATATATACTTTATATATTAAAGTATAAAATATAAGTGTATTACTCATCTTATAGTAGTATACTTATATATTATATACTATAAACATTATATTATATATTACTTACTATAACTAGTATTGTACTAGTTAACTAGTTAATTAGTTAATTAGTTCATTACCATTATTGTTACATTTTTCATTATACTAGTTAATTAGTCTATTAGCATTGTTGTTACATTTGTCATTATACTAGTCAAGATATAGAGAGCTCTTCTCATCAGGCCGGCCTGACGGGCTGCCCCGTCCGGCCGAGCCCGTTTGGGCACCTTCCCGGTGGAATTTTTTGATGAAATTTTTTGAGCATATTCCTCATCAAGTCTAGTTTGTCCATGCCAAATTTCAGCTCAAAATTCGATCGGGAAGGTCGTCAAATGATTTTTGCAAGTTAACTGGTCCGGAAAATACATATTCCGGACCAGTTAACTTGCAAAAATCATTTGACGACCTTCCCGATCGAATTTTGAGCTGAAATTTGGCATGGACAAACTAGACTTGACGAGGAACATGCTCAAAAAATTTCATCAAAAAATTCCACCGGGAAGGTGCCCAAACGGGCTCGGCCGGACGGGGCAGCCCGTCAGGCCGGCCTGATGAGATGATTTCTCTACTAGTCAATTAGTTAATTAGCATTGTTGTTACATTTTTCATTATACTAGTTATTTACTTCATTAGTATTCTCATTAATTGTTAAAACAACTCTACTTCAATAAAGTAGTTAATTGTCATTAATTCATTATAGTTAAAGTCACATTTTCTTATTTTCAATTTATATTTGTAGGAAGAAATAGTAGTTCAATCATTTAATTAAAGTACTTAACATTTTATTTAAGTAGTTTTTACTAAATTAAAGTACTTCAAAAGTTGGTATAATTTTAATTTTAAAGTCACACATTAATTCTACTTTGCACTAAATTAGTTTGAAGTATTAATTAAAATAGTTTTAATTAGTTGCATTAGTTTTGTATCCATTATTATATTGGTTGTCAATTAATATTTGTTACATTTTTAAGATGGAAGGTGGTAGATATTCGATTGATTTGGGTAACCTCCATTCTCCAACCCAATCGAAGGAACGAGATTGGGAGGAAGAAATCCCGCAAAGGTAAAGAACTTGCCGGTTCTTCATCTCAAAGCCGAGATGATTTTGAAACGGGTTACCAAAGGCGAGATGGAGATGCGATGTCCGAAGAACAACTCCAACAAGAATTGGCCCGACATAATAACCGCTTTCTACAACAACAACAAATTTGTAATGTTTTGATATATTTTTTTAATGCTACTGAAACTTTTAGTCATGTTTATAAACCTACCGCAAACCAATTTATTCCACAAGCTGTTAATCTCGCCGATGCTTTTAAAGAATTTCAGAATGTCGTTTTCGTTCATTATTTTTGTGATTCTATGAAGGAAAAGTTTTTAAAATATTATGCGCATATTCCCCATATTTATGGTATTGCGTTTATTCTCGATCCTCGTTATAGACTTGCTAATTTGGAAGATTGTTTCAACTTCTATTATCTTGCGTTTTTTGGTGAATTTCCAATGTATGACGATAACCCCATAGATCCGAAAACGGAATACAACGAGGTTAGTACTTTATTTTATGCCTTATTTAATGAGTTTCGTGCACAATATAGCAACGCTCCCCCTCCCCCGTCACGAACATCTTCATCTAAAGGAAAATCGATTTTTAAATCTGCATTTGGCAATCTTATGAAAAAACAAAAACAACTCACGTCACTGAACAAAGTGCATTGAATGAGATTACTTTGTATTTAACATATGAAGTTGATTTTGAAGAAAATGATGACTTTGACGTTCTAGACTGGTGGAAGTCAAAAGAAAGAACGTTCCCGATTTTAGCACGGATGGCTAAGCAAGTACTATCAATGCCGATTTCAACAGTTGCTGTGGAACAAGAATTTAGTTCGGCCGGCAACGTCCTAACGGCATCTAGATCGAGATTGAGCGCAGAGTCTCTTGAGACGCTTATATGCTACCACGATTGGTTGAAGGCCGCACGTAGAACTCAAGAAATGAGCATCACCCCCTCCCAAGATTTTATGGATGACTCAACAACCGATGGTGGCTCTACCTATGCCGGAAATTCCGATTGATTAGTATTTTAGAATTTATTATAAAATGTATTTTATAGCACTTGTCAAATTAATTTATACTTGTACTTCATATTTCAAAATTGTAAACTTGTACTTCATATTTCAAAATTGTAAATTTGTAGTTGTACTTCAAATTAATTTGTAAACTTGTACTTCATATTTCAAATAAATATGTGTTCACTTTTTCATATGTAGCACTTCTCAAATTAATTAATTGGTTACAAACTAACGACTTAAAATTATTTTTCTAAAATATAAAGCCGGTTTTTAAATTAAAAATACATTTACAATATGTAATTTGTTTAAATACTTATACACCTATTTTGTAACATTTGTAAATTATAAATCAAACCACTTTTCTAAGTACAAATAGTTTTAGTTTTACTTAATTCATTAAATTAATTAATTTATTTTACAATATGTATAACTTAAAAAAAAAATTGAAATCAAACCTCCCAAACGGCTATATAGCCGTTGGGGCTATGGGTGGGGGGCAGGGGGGTCCCGGGGGTGGTGGTGTGGGGAGTGGGGTTCAAAAACATCTATAAATACATCTATTTTCTAACATTTTTCTACACCTCTTCTCCAATTCTTCTCCAACTCTTCTCCATCTTCATCTTCTCTTATTATCCTACATTCCTACTTATACATATACCATTTTAAATATGGAAAGTACATCTTCCCTTATGCAAAACAATTTTGACAAGTGGAAGGACCCGAAGACCGAACTGTGGTGGGTAACTTGCAGGTGGTGCAAGAAAGAGTGTTGCTTGGGGCGTTCATACGGATACGGGATGCCAATAAAACATATGAAGTCCTGTGACAAAGGGAAAACAACAACCAACGGTGGCGGAAATCCCAATTGATATTCATTAGAAAATGTATTTCGTATTGTTATTTTTTTCTCAATTCTCAAATGTAGTTCTTATTTCAAATAAATGCACTTGAACTTTGTTTTTAATAGGAATTTGTATAATATATAACTAATTAAAAAAAATACTGGCCCGGCCCGGCGGGTGGCCCGACCCGTGACCCGGGCGGGTGGCCCGGCCCGAACCGGAACAGGCCATTGCCCGGGCCGGTCCCGGGCCTACCATTACAAGACCCGAGGCCCGACCGGGCCTTGACCTGGCCCGGGCCCGACCCGGCCCGGGTCCATCACTAACGTTGAGTGTCCATTTGGTTTTTTTTCTTCCTCTTTTTCTATGTGTTTCTTCTCCTTCCTCCGCTCTCAGCCACCTGGTTCTTTACCTCATCCTTCAATCCTTCTCCCCAGGGACGAAGGTAGGGTATAGGGGTAGGGGGGCTTGCCCCCGCCCAACATTTTAATTTATTTTTTTGAATTTTTTTTAAATTTTTGGGTTGGGCTGGGTATTTTGGACCATTTGAAGTGGTTTGGGGGTGAGGGGGGGTTGGGGGTTAATTAGGAAAAGGCAATATATATATATATATATATATATATATATATATATATATATATATATATATATATATATATATATATATAACCGAGGCCCGGCCCGGGGGTTACACGGGCCGGTTCCGGGCCCTCCATTCCAGGACCGGAGGCCCGACCGGGCCTAGGCCCGGCCCGGGCCCGGGCCGAACCGAGTCCAGGCCTAGTCCTAACGTTGTCTTATTATTACATTTAGAAATCAAAAGTTATATGTTTAATGAAAAAGTTGATTGATAAATTTGATAAGCCGAAAAAGTCCCCACCCACATAGGCTCTTAATCTCCACTAATAATCTGAAAAAAATGAACCAGCTATCAATTTGGGAAAACTCTAGATTTTTCAACTGAAAATCCATCAAAAACTGTAAATCTTCTGTTAATACAGAGCATGGCATTATATCTTGCAATCTTTCGATGTCAAATAAAGGAGTTATAAAAAAACCTACCAGTAAATCACCTCGTTTGTGAATTGTGATTTTTAAAACTCTCTAGGCAAGGGTCACTTGATGATTTGACCAAATCTCAGAGAGGTGTAGATACATTGAAGTAATTAACTCTTCCAAAAGTTACAACATGGTTTTTGATGTTATGCCTTTCAACTAAACCAAGTAAACCCACAACGGATGAAGAAATTCTTACAAATGTTTTACGGCAGACTGCTATTATTACTATTACTATTATTCTTCTTTTACAGGAAGAACATCTTCACTATAATGCATTTGCCAATCTAACATTCCCCTGCTTTTTACTGAAGGGGAAATCAGCACAAGTAAAAACAGTATCTAATCCTGAAATGAAACCGGTATCTGTATATATTATATTGATCATTGCATCAGCTTAGCGAAAACTGCGGTAGGAGGGGCTGTACATACAGCTCTCAGCATATGCTACCAAGTTCTCTGGTTGGGGTATACGCGTCGCCAAACCTTTATATACCACATAAACCACATCAGTTACGTAAATGAGATGAATCATGAATAGTTCTGCATTTTACCCTAACAAAATTAAAATGGCCACCATGCCCCGACATTCAAACAACCAAACATCTGGGGTCTTGAATGCAAGGATATTAATAAACTCTATGGTAGAACAATTCTAATAGAGATCAAGAAGAGTAATATGAATCTTGGGAGAATATAACATACCAAGTTCATATGCTTTGGATGCTACTTTGGCAGCGATATGAGCTGAAATTTTTCTGATGTTGGAAAATGGAGGGTATATGAGTCCTTTGTCAAAGTTTTCTTGTGTGACCTCCGCAGCGAGAGCTTCCGCTGTTCCAGATTTTTTTTCATACAAAAAAGGTCAGATAGAATTTGGTGCAAAATTTAATGCCTCAAACCTGGACTAAGTTCCTGTTATCCTTTGTAGACCCTAATTAATAAAGTTCTGTTTGGAAAATAAAGATTAAAAAGACTAGGGAATGAAAATTTGTTCGAAATTACATAAATTAGACTTATGTTTAAAAAAACTTATATTTATGAATATACAATTGGTACATTCTAAAAACGCTTTAATCAAATTTAGTTTTCCTCGTTTATTTTATTTTTTTTAGATAAAACCGAACATTTTGATCCTATGATCCTGGGAAAATGAGGAGGAAAAGAGAATGCTAATAAAAGAAATCAAGTATGTTTGGTTTTACCTCTGAAATTCAAACAAAAAATAAAAGATTATTATTGTTATACGTTCCTCACACATATTTAGATTTACTAGTATTTATACAATACAGAATAACAAAAAATTGAACTTTAATAAATTTTATAATAAATTTATTGAGTTTGAACCTATGTTGTAAGAACCGGACCGGAGAGTGACCCGGAAAGATTAGTGGGTCACGGGTCAACCCGGACCCGGCGGGTCAGCCCGGTCAATAACCGGTAAGCCCGGTCAACACTATTATATATAATTAATTAATTATATAAAAGAATAAATACATAAATAGAAAAACCACATCCCTTCATAATTTAAAAATTATAACAATGCGATATAAGCAATGTAAAAAAATACTGTATTACAGTACATATTGATTTTAACATAATTTAAAATACATTTGGATTTAGATGAATAATAAATACTACTGTGAACATAATTCCATTTACAAATTTTAAAACAATAATTAAAATATGATACACATAATTAGGAACTATAATACTCCGTAATAGCATTGATTTTTATTTATTAGTACATATCATTTTGATTATTAATTAATTGCTTTATTAACTAGTTCTCGTAGTATTTAGTTAAGATTTAACAAACAAATTCAGGCTTACAAGTTATAAGGACACATAAACAACGACAATGACCAACTGACTAGAGTAGTTCGGTGGTTTCTATGTTGAATGTTGCAGAGCAGCATTAGGCGCGAGTTCGATTCCCTCCTTCTCCGCTTTTTCTATTTTCCGGGTCTAGTAGCGGTTTACTGGCCAACCGAACCGGATTCATGGCCGGGTGGGCGGGTTCCGGGTCGGACCGGGCGGTCCGGTTCGGTTCTTACAACACAGGTTTGAACCCAATGTTGTACTTTTCCTCTATATTTTCTTTCTTTCCCTAGATTTATGTAGTTCCAAAGAGGCCATAAAACACTATGCTCCAGAACACTTTTTTCACTCCAATTTTGTCCTGTGTTCCAAAAATAGCTTAAAGAAAATCCTAACTACTTACAGGCTGCAAGAAGCATGTCATCATGTACACGGATTGCGCCCGAAATGATCAGTCCAAGACCCAACCCAGGGAATATATATGCATTGTTTGCCTGTGAAATAGACACATTGAGGGGTTTAACCATCCTAACTAAATTTCTAACTTATAAGCAATAGAAGAAAGACTTGAGTTCATGAGTTACCTGACCAGATGATATAATCTTTCCCTTGTACTCAAATGTGGGAAATGGGCTTCCACTAGCGAAAATAGCTCGTCCCTGAAACAATGAAAAACAGGTGTAGTAGTAAGTTGACTAGCTATGAGTAAACATATTTTAATAATCATGTGTACAAACAAACACTACCTTACTCCAAGTATAAGCCTCTTCTGCAGTACACTCCGACTGTGATGTTGGGTTTGAGAGAGAAAGAATGATAGGTTTCTGCATGCCATACGTCAATTTCACCAATGTTAATTCATTATTTCCATTTTCCAGTCAAACCAGAAAAACAAACTCAAACGGTAGGAAAATGAAAAGAATAAAATAGGAGGAGACCTTGTTGAAGGAAGCCATAGATTCAATGACTTCTTTAGTAAACGTTCTCCCAGCTCCAGAAGATCCAATCAAGACTGTTGGTTTAATTGCCTGAAACAAAAATACACAACTCATCAAGGACTGGCCTTGGGATCCAAATGTGCATATGAGTCTTCATAGCATTATTATTCGTATTTGTTAATTATCATTGTTGTTGTCATTACTACTACATCCATCTCAATTTAAAAGTACTATCCAGGCAGGCATCCACTATTTTACGGCCAACCCAGTTCCTTTATTGTCTAATTTTATGTATCAACTTTTATCATACTGGAATTGGGTATTTGTTGTTCAAAAACTTTTAATGTAGTTTATAATATGGTAGATTCCATGGTAC